TGGTTAAAGAAGATACTTGATATTATTGCAGTCTTCTCGAACTTGCTAAGACTTGTTTTGTGGCCTAACATATGGTCTTTCCTAGAAAACATTCCATGTACACTTAAGAAGAATGTGCATTCTATTGTTATTAAATATACTGTTCTGTATATGTCTGTTAGGTCCATTTGGTCTGTAGTGTTGTTCAAGTCCACCATTTCCTTATTGATTCTCTGCATGATTTATCCATTTGGAGAGACAGTCTTCAATTATTATTGTATTACTGTTTATTTCTCCTTTTAGCTTTGTTAGTTTTTGCTTTGTATAGTTAGGTGCCTCAATGTTGGGTACATAAATATTTACAGTTTTTCTATCTTCTTGATATATTGACTCCTTTACCATTATATAATGACTTTCTTTGTTTCTTTTTACCATTTTAAAAGTCTATTTTGTCTGTTGTATATATAGGTACCTCTGCCTTTTTTGGTTTCCATTTGATTGAAATGTCTTTTTCCACTGTTTTACTCTCAGTCTGTGTGTGTCTTTAAAGCTAAAATTACTCTCTTGTGCACAGCATATTTTTGGAACTTATTTTTTGATCCATTCGGGCTTTCTATGTTTTTAATTAGAGAATTTAATCCATTTACATTTAAAGTAATTATTGATTGGTAAGAAGATGGGTAGCAGATGGGGCTATGAATTGTTTCATTTCCTGGCAGGGCAGCAGGATAGGACCCAAGGCCTGTATAGCCCATACTTGGAGACCTCAATCAGGCCAGAGTGTGTACTGAATGTTGTGGTCAGGTGAGGCTACAACTTTTGCTCTGCACACCAGATAACCATGGGCTGTGCTCCCTGTTTGAGTGCCACTGTACATAAGGCTGTTGAGTGGGCTATGCAGCTTTCTATGTTCTCTGGTTAGATTCTTTCATCAGACAGGCTGAAGGCTGCATAAAACAGTGAGTGGCGTTATGAATTAGATTTCCTGCTCTGGTACAGTGGGAGAAACAGCTCAAAAGCTGGTAAAACTCTTTGTTGTCTTAACTCAAGCTGACCCACCTTCCAAACAGGGCCATGAACAAACGAGGCCACTGGCTTTGCTCTGCAAACTATCAACTCTACCCACTCATCTCTTAGCTTGAGTGACACTATGCTGCACGGATTCCAGGAATTGTTGCCAGCCCTTCTGGTCAGATGGGGCCAGAAAGCACTCACTACAGTGGATAGGGCTCTCAGCTCCCTTACCTATGGAAAGAGACTGTTCCCGGCTATTCTCAATTTCAACAGATTTTGTAGCCAAGAGAGGCCAGGAGCTACCCTCAGCCTTGGCTATGAATCAGCCCCCTGCCATCATTCCCAGTATAGGCTTTGCTCTGGGGGTGATCAATTCTGCTCATTCGCCTCTTGGTTCAAGCACTACTGGGCCACACAGCTTCTAGGAGTTCTTGCCAGCCCTTCTGGTCAGATGGAGCCAGAAGAAACTCTCTACAGCAAGTAGGGCTGTGATTAAGCTCCTAGATTGGGCATGAGCAAACTATGCTCTAGGGCCAGCAGTACTCCTCCTTTTGAGGATCTGAATCAGGCAGATCTGCACTCTGCCATGTACCTTGGTCAGAGTGCACCCCTAAATTGGTTCTGCAGATTAGCAAAGCAACTGGTTGGGATTATTGCTTGGCCACTGCACGTAAGAACTTGGTCTGCCAAGATCCATGTGCTGGTTGTTGTAAGCTTTTCCCCTTTCCCCATTACAATCAGATTACCAGTGGTTGAGCCCCACAGATTCTCCTGCAATCCCTGTGGTATGAGATCAGACTAGGGGCTCCCAAAAAGTGACCCAGAATGCTGAAGGAGGCTCATTACTCCACCGGGCTCTCTTTTCTCACTGGAGGAACTGCAGGCACAGAAAAGTCCTCTCCTTGTGGTGCTGTGCTAGCCTGGGGGTGTGAGAATGCTGTCAACATGTAGCCGCTCCTCTTACACTTCTAATGCAGTCTGTCTTGGTGTCTTTGGTGCAGGGGGATGCTTCAGCCTCAACACCATGTTCTAGGATTCTCTCAGTGGTATCTTGTTCTTGAATAGATTAGTTAGTTCTTCTTATGAGGGGAGCAAAGTCAGGAACAACCTATGTTGCCATTTTGGTGACATCTAATTCATCCATTTTTATATTAATTTTTACTTTTAATTGGAATGTGTATTCCATTAATATTTAATGTAACTATGGATCTTTTTTATTTATTTCTACCACTTTAGAATTTGTTTTTTGCTTATCCCCTTTGATTTTTGTTTCTCATTCTCTTATTATTATTTTAATATTTTTATATTTTTTGAATAATTTCACATTTTTAAGTGGTTACTCTGAGGATAACAGTATCCATCCTTAAATTTACACAGTCTACATAGGCTTAATATTGTACCATTTCAGATAAAAATATTGAAAACCTTAATGTATATAAGTCCATTTACCATTTCCATTCCTTTATGATATATTTATTCTAGGTTTTATATCTACATCTTATACACACATGAAAATTTCATAATTTTTGCTTTAAACAGTTCTGTGTTTTAAAGAAATTTGGAGGAAAACGGGGTTTATATTTTGCCAAACCACTTCCGATGCTCTTTATTTCTTTCCAAAGATATGTATTCTATTAGATATAATTTCTTTTCAGCTTGAAAAACATCCTTTAGTATTTCAGGTATTATGAGTCGGATGGTGATCAGTTCTCCTAGTTTTCTGTGTCAAATGTGTTTTTACTTTGTTTTCATTCTTGAAGAAAATTTTAGTTAGATAAAAATTCTGGATTAACTTTATTTTTCTCATTTCAGCATTTTGTCACTGATTTGTTGCCTCTCTAGTTTCTGACCAGGAAATTGTGGTCATTTGAATTTTTGTTTCTCGTTATGTAACGAGTTACACTTTGTTGTTGTTGTTGTTCTAGTTGTTTGCTAGTTTTTCCTCTATGTTTGCTTTTCAATAATTTGACTCTGATGTGTCTGAACAGGTTTTTTGTTGTTTTTTTTTTTTTCCTCTGTAATATTTATTCTTCTTGGAATTTACTCATCTCTTGACTCTATAAATGTATGTCTTTCAAAAATCTTCTAATGTTTTTCTACTCTATTGGGACTCCAATAAATATATGTCTTCAAATTGCATATGTTTTTAATCATTATTTTCTCATTGTTATCTGCCTTATTCTTTTTGGTCCTCTCTTTTGGGACTCCAATTACACATGTTATGCCTTTTGATATTTTTCCACTTGTTTCTGAGGCTCTGTTTTTTTCCTCCAAATCTGTTTCTCTTTTCTTTGAACCAAGTGACTTGAATTGATCTATTTATAAATTCACTGACTATTTCTTGTGTCAATTCCATTTTCCTGTTAAGGTTTTCAGTGAATTTTTAATTTCAGATACTGTACTTTTTTTTTCTAAAATTTCTATTGGTAATTTTTTTTTATATTTTCTCTCTTTAGAGTTCTTATCTCTTCATTTGTTTTAAACGTATATTCCTTTATACCATTAAGCATAAATATGATATCCTTCAAAATTAATTTCTGTTAATTCCATCTCCATCATCTGTGCCATTATAGGGTTGTTATGCCTTGATAATCATTTCTTTTGAGAATAAATCATATTTCTTTGATTCTTCATGTTGAGTGATTATAGATTTTATTCTGGACATTGTAAATGTTATGTTGTGGGGAATTTATGTTGTGTTATATTATCTGAAGACTTTTGTTGTTGTTGTTGTTGGGTGGTTGGTTGGTTGGTTGTACTTTTTTTAAATTGAATTGTTAGTTGGTTACTTTAACAGACTATTAAATTGGCTGGACAATATCTCTTAGGTGGCAGATAAAATCTCAGTACAGTTTAGCTGGGCTCCCTAGACTCTGCTTTCATGTGGTAGCTCCAATTTCCCCCAAATATTAGGGAAGTTAATAAACAGAATTGGGGGTACTTCTTCTCTACTCCTTTCTTGTCATCTCTCCACACTTTTCAGCAGTTTTGGTTTTCCCAAGTTCTCTTGTCTTGTTCTTCAAACCAGAAAGAGTAAAGGAATTCTATAGAAGATTTAGCCATGGCACATGATTAAGACTGTGTGTGCCCTCATGCTAGATGCCATGACAACAGGAAATTTATCCAGTGCTGTTTCCTACTTCCAAGTGTCAACTCTGTGACAAGAAAGACAAAAGGAAAAGGACCTGCTTTTGTCACTCTCTAGTGCTTAAAACCAGGGTGATTTTTAAATACATCATCTGAAGTTTTTATCTGCTACAGGGCAATTTAATAATTTACTTAGCTGTTACCAAGGACAAAAATACTGCATCCATGTTCAAAAGATAACTTTTTTATTATAGAATTACAGTTTGACAGTTATTTACTGACAACATATTAAAGATATCATTCATTCGGTTTTTATTGAGAAGACTGCTGTCAAGTTATCTTTTTTCTCTGTTCCTAGGACTTTCTCTTGTTTTTGATATTCTGGAAATATACTACAATGCACAAAGGTGTCAATTTCTTTGTATTTATTCTGCTTTATAAATATTGGACTTTATGGTTTTGTGTTGGGGTTAATGTAGAGCATGGAATCATCCATAATACCTGGCTTGCTAAAATGTAACATGGAGGCTGCTGGGGGCTAGGGAAGGTTTCAGAGAAGGGCATAGGCCTTTGGAATGCAGAGGCCTGTGTGACCACTCTGACGTTGGAATGCTGCGGGGAGTTGCCTTCCCCGAAGCTTTCTTAGCCCAAACAGCCGCCCTGTGATCTAAGAGATGAATGCATTGTCCCCTAGACTACGTTTAGCAGAACTCGTAGAGCATGCAGATTAGCATATCCTATCTTTCCTGTAAACAGATTCTCCTAGTTCCAGTAAGACCCCTTGTCACACATCACGTGCTTGAGAAACAGTGATAAAGATTTGTGATTATCCTGAAGGACCAATAAAAGCAGGAGGAAAGAAGGGCAATAGGTCTTCTTCTCTGAGCGTTGACCCCCTTACCTTCTCCTCTCTTTTGCAGCAAAGTTTGGAGTCATCTTTCATCCGTCGGAACAGGGATTGCTGGCCATTCCCAGCAGGTTTGAGGATTTCTGATTTTTGTAAGTTTTGAAAATTTCTCAACCCTTATCTTTTCAAATAATGCTTTTTCTTTATTTTTTATCTTTTTTCTTTCTGGGACTCCAGTGAAACCTATATTACAACTCCTTATTCTCTCTTCCTTGGCATTTTACTTTTCTATTTTCTCTCTCTCTCTCAACTGCCTGCAAAATAATTATACTAGAAATATTTTCTATTTTACTATCAAGTTTTGTCTATTTGATTATTTAATGAAACCATTTAGGGTTTTCTTTTTTTTTTTTTTAAAGATGTTATTTATTTATTTGAGAGAGAGAGAAAGAGCACAAGAGCGGGGAGTGGGAGAGGGAGAAGCAGAGTCCCTGCTGAGCAGGGAGCCCGATGCGGGACTCGATCCCGGGACTCCAGGATCATGACCTGAGCCAAAGGCAGTCGCTTAACCAACTGAGCCACCCAGGCGCCCCCATTTAGGGTTTTCTAAGTAATATTTTTAGAATATGAGTACTCGAAACTCATCACTTGAAACAAAAGCCAGGAAACTGATAGCAATCCTCATCCAAACACGTGGATTGGTGCCCCCAATCCTGTTGCCCTACGTCCCACTTCTTGAGGTAAACCATTACAATCACTTTAATTTCCATTTCATATGGTGTTGTTGAACTTGTCTGTATTTCTAATAACTATATATTATAATTTTAACATATAATTTTATACAAAGATCACTATATATATATTTAGGGAGACTACTTTTAAATAAATATTATATTGCCATCCATTTAGTTTTTTTATTATATGTTGTATATTTTAAATTTCTATACAGTAAAATTCACACTTTTTTAAATAATTCTGTGAGATATGACAAATGCAAAGAGTCATGTAACTATCACCACAAGCAGAATATAGAATAGATTCCTCATCGGGTGCCTGGGTGGCTCAGTTGGTTAAGCGACTGCCTTCGGCTCAGGTCATGATCCTGGAGTCCCGGGATCGAGTCCCGCATCGGGCTCCCTGCTCGGCGGGGAGTCTGCTTCTCCCTCTGACTCTCTTCCCTCTGTTGCTATCCATCTCTCATTCTCTCTCTCTCAAATAAATAAATAAAATCTTTAAAAAAAAAAAAAAAAAGAATAGATTCCTCATCTTCAAAAGTTCCTTTATGCTACTTAATTTTTTAAGAAGATTTTATTTATTTCAGAGAGAAAGAGCGAGCATGAGTGGTGGGAGAGGCAAAGGGAGAAGAAGAGAGAGAATCTCAGACAGAGTCTGCACTAAGCACAAAGCCAGATGTGGGCTCCATCTCATGACCCATGAGATCATGACCTGAGCCAAAATCCAGAGTCTGACGCTGAACTGACTGAGCCACACAGGCACCCCTATGCTACTTAATTTTTATCAAATCCACCCCCCAACCTTAGTCTCTGGCAACCACCTATATGTTCTCCATCTCTATGGTTTTAGTTTTTTAGAATTACATATTAGGGGAATCATTTAGTAAGTAACTTTTTGACTCTGGTTACTTTCACTTAGCATAATGCATTTGAGAGACATTTAAGTTATTCTTTTTTTATTGCTGAGCTGTATTCCTTTGTATGAATGTACTAATTGTTTATCCATTAATTCATTGAAGAACATTTGGTTATTTTGAGTTTGAGGCCATTATGAATATAGTTGCTATAAACATGGGCATTTTGTGTTATTATAAATTTCCATTCTTTGTGGTTAACACATAAGAGTGGGATTGCTGAATCTAATGGTAAGTGTATGCTTAACTTTGTAAGAAACTATCAAACTGTGTCCCCGAGTGGCTCTATAATTTTACATTCCTATCAGACATATATGAATGATGCAGTCTTGAACTTTTTTTTTTTTTTTAAGATTTTATTTATTTATTTATTTGACAGAGAGAGGCAGTGAGAGAGGGAACACAAGCGGGGGGAGTGGGAGAGGGAGAAGCAGGCTTCCTGCGGAGCAGGGAGCCTGATGTGGGGCTCGATCCCAGGACCCTGGGATCATGACCTGAGCCAAAGGCAGACGCTTAACGACTGAGCCACCCAGGCGCCCCAGTCTTGAACTTTTTTATTCTTAATATAATATTACAAATTAAACTGTAATGATAGACTTCTTGCAAACTTAATCTACATCAGTCACTTTGCATGCAGAAAGAATAGAGAACTGCACCATTCTAATAAAGAATAAATCAATTGTGGTGATAGAACCACATTCTGCTTTTGATTTTAACTTTGTCATTACAAGGCTGCCATGTTGCCCAACTTTACATGGTACCACTCACATCCTAGTCTATAGAGTTTTTCCCTGATCGTTGCTTTTAGGTTTTTAATGAATGCACGTAATAAGCAGAATCATCATGTGGATGTGTTTTTAATTTTGACAGTATACTCTCTTGAAATAGATAAAATCATCAAAAGCAGCTTCTAAAACCAATTTTAGAGCCTTTAAAACATATACATAATACAAATTTGCACAGCAACATAAAGTTATTTCCCAAAATGTGGTTACTAAAAATCAGTGTTGCAAGATGTTAATATGTTTAATTTGAAGTGTGTAGCATAAGAGGGAATCTTTGGTTAAATAAGTTTGGAATAACATCATTAAACAAGTATTTTTTTCTACATCTTTTAGTATTCAGAGACTTTAATATTTTATTTTAGAGAGCTAACCAATAGATCATTTTCCAAACCTATTTTATTGTGGGACCCATCTTAGGAATCTCATAAAAATTTTGAACTTGTAATGTAAGGAAATTAGAGAGAACCATCAGAGGAAACTCCTAATAACATTTATTCCAGGTAATCAGTTTTTATCTGGCTCAATTTAGTGTAGACCATCTGAGAATGGTACTACAAATTGAATGTAAAATATGAAGTACCTGCAGGAATAAAGTGGACTGGTTAGAACATTTATTATAAAGAGGGGGCATTTGTAGATAGCACCAATGCATAACAGGTCATAGCCAAGTGTCAAAAACAATTCACAGAATAGTTTGCAACTTATAAGCTCTGGTTTTAGATGACATTTCTATTGACACTTTCTATTTTTGATAATGTTTCTGTGGGCTGACAGAAGATAGCTCTTACTTAGAAAGGCAAAGATTTCTGCCCCCTGGAGTGTCTAAGGTGTTAAACCTATTATGTTCAATTCAAGTGTTAGATTTTTAAAGAGTACTACAGAGGGTAACCTTGGGAGGCATTCACTCCACTCTTAAGGTAAAGCCTAAAGCTTCTTTTGTCAGAGAGAGAAATGAAAGAAACATTTTAGATGTCTCCATGGATAACCTAATGCTTTTAACTGTGTATTCCTTTTTAGGTGCTCTGGGCATGAAGAAAGGGGAAAAATGTTTTTATAGGGTTTTGTTTATTTTTTCTAAATGAAGATTTGATAATATTTGCACCTACAGATATTTATGACTTTGTATCATACATTAGACTTAAGACTGCATGTCATTTAATAGTTTCTGCTTTTCAGAACCCCTGATTTTATCTATCTTTCTGTCTACCTGTCTATCTATCTATCTATCTATCTATCTATCTATCTATCTATCTATCATCTATCTATCTTTCTGTCTACATACCTACCTACCTATTATCTTTCTTTTATTTCTGGCCTTTTATTATCAACACAATCTCTGATATTAGAAAAGAGAAAAACAAGGTCATGTATTGTTACACACTTAACATAAATTTCTATTTGTCTATCTGTGTGTCGCTCACACACACACACAGAGTTTTTATTTAATTAATGCTGATCTTGGACAGTCAGATTTATTCTGTAAGGCTTATGGTACTTGATGAAATACTCAATTGTGAAACTGATCAATCTTGACATAATTTGTGTTTAAAACTCCATCCTCTGAAAGTAAGTGATATAACATGTATTTAAAAATGGAGTTTGGGGTTAAACTCATAAATTTTCTTTTTAAAGGTGAATTAACATTGAGACACAACCTATAGTTTTAGTTATAGCCTCACAGGTCAAAACCAGTGTATATTATCAATTTCTCTCTGCAGTGTTCCTACACTACCCAATAGTTTGATTATGATCCTTTTATTTTCTCCTTTGATAATTTAACAGTTCAGCTTCTATAAAAATTGATACCAATGCTGAGAAGAAGAGAAAAATTGGAAGAAGGAGTAGGAGGAGAAACAGCATTTATAGAAAGCTAAATATATCTTTCACAATAGCTATCAGTTTTACTTTTTCTTTTCTCTCTCTGAATAACATTCATAATTTAATATTATTTAATAATCAAAATTTGCTTAAAACTTAACATAAATATTAACCATTAATATATTAACAATTGCTAACAATAGATTTATAAATAAAATTACAATTAATAAATTGAAGTTAGAGATGGAGGCAGCAAAGTTACCATTAGCCCCTAATATTTTTCTTATGTTGAATTATGAAGCATGAAGAATATATTTCTTTCTAACACCAATTCTTTAAAAACACAACTAAAATAGGTAAACTTCTGGGAAAATTATTCAAGGAATAAGAGAAAGAAGGCACAAATAACCAAAATTAGAAATGAAGAAATGGAAATGACTAATAGAACAGACATTTGAACGACTTTATGGCACTAAGTTTGCAAACAGAGAAAATGACAATTTTCTGGAAAAAAAAAAATCTGTAAGAAGTGGCCAAAGAAGAAATATGAAACTAAATAACCTTAATTTTTAGAGAAGTCAAGAAAATGCTCAGCTAAAATCTTTATTTCCAAGCAACAGCTTTTAGCTAATAGTGGCCATGTGATCCTTTTCTTCTTAATGAAATATAAGAATAAGTTTGGTGAGTTATATGTTCTATTGGTTTGGACAAATGTGTAACATCCCACCATTATGGTAGAACAGATTCCTCTATACTTCAACTATTCATTTCTTCCTCCTCCCTAACCCTTAACAACTGATCTTTTTACTGTGTCCAAAGTTTTGCCTTTTTCAGAATGTCATATAGTTGGAATCATACAGTATGTAGCCTTCTCAGATAGGTTTCTTTCATTTAGTAATAT